TAAAAAGTCCCCGAAATGCCTTAGTTTTAGAAAAGTTAGTTCTATATTGTGTGCATTGTTATTATGAACATTATTGTCAGAGCTGGTTGAACAAGTGATGTGTGAAATTGAACACTGCACGTCACATTCATTCAAGTTTTACTTTTAAAAAAAGATCAAAATAAACTTGTACAGTTGAACCAAAATAGAACACTATATTACACATCATCTTTTACTTTTTCACTTTTTCTGTTTCATTCTCTGCTTCAAAACCTCCCTGCTACAGATGAATTTGAATTCCCACAAAATAAGATAGAGATGTTTTAACAGTTCTGCTACAGTGTTATCCAGCCTCCCTGGTGTATCCACAGTGTAAAACGAAGGGTGTAATTAAAAAAAAGGGTTCAGTGTCCTACAGCAAACATGGACATTGCGTGCATGAGACATTTAATTAAAACAAACACCTGGAGATGGGGACAAACCTACATTTCCCCTCAGGACTTAGTAAAATTAATCAAAACTGTGTCAAAATCCACCGGCCTGGGCTACGTTGGTACACTTTCAGAACAAAACATTTATTTAACATTTAAACAATTGTTTTACTTCGTTTTTTAAGCTAATTTTAAAGTTATTTCTATGACACACTCCAAAAATTGAGCACCTGAGCAAATTAGCACAAAAGAAATTCCTATGTAATATTTTAGAAGGTTCCTCAGTCAGCACTCTCGCTGGAAGTTGTAATGTAGTTCTCAGTATTAAATAGGCTTGTTAACATGGGCTGCTAATGCTAACTGCTGCTAATTGTTTGACATTGTTTTGTTTAGGATAAAAACAAACTGGACTCCACATGCCAGCGACGACTGAGATTATCCAGCCTTCTATCTACCAGTTATGTTCGCCAAAAGGTAAGAATTAATCATTTGTATTATTATTTTACAATATTATTAGTATTGTTAGTCAATGGCAGCTTAAAAAAAACTTGTAACTTTGATGTGACAGGTTTAGGTGTCAAAGTTCAGTATTTTAGAAGCATCCACTCTTTACTGTTAGTATTTTAATGTTGGACTGCGACGCAGTACTGTACTGTACAGTGGAACCTCGAGATACGAGCATAATCCATTCCAGGACCGAGCTCGTAACTCAAATCATTTTTCCCCATAAGAAATAAATTAAAAATTAATCAGTTCCGGCTGCTTATTAGTGCTAATAACAATGGAAAACACACGTTTTTAAATGCTATAGAGACATACACACACACACACAAATATAGTAGATAAGGATTCCTGTGATATAAAATAAAATATAGTTTTAATTATGAGTTCTTACCTTCGACACAGACGATACATCGGCGGCTAACAGCAGCATGTGCGGAGGAGGAGGGATGAAGGGAGGTTAAGAGAGTTGGCCCGTACGTAGACACTTCTGTACCATACCTTACACATACACTACGTAACTTATGACATACACTTAGAATTAACTTAACTTACGAGTGAGGCGGTGTGGGCTGCTGAGTGCTCGGCCACCTGGTGTCAGCGTCTGTAAGCATGCTCGTATCTCAAAGCAAAAACAAATACTCGAAGACTTGCTTATATGACGTATGTCGAGACGCTCGTATCTCAAGTTTCCACTGTATTTTGGGCAGTTAATACTTTAATTTCACACCTGAAATAATTCTTTAAAATAATGCAGTTTAAAATTAAAGGAATAGTTCAGGTTTGTGTGGTTAAAGGGGGCGACATAATGGCATAGTGGTAAGCTCTGTTGCCCTACAGCAAAAAGGTCACCAGTTCAGCTTTATCTAACTGTCTATTAAGATATACGTGTTCTGTGGCCATGGGTTTCCTAGGTTTAAGGTCAATAGTTCACTCTCAATGTATTTCATTTGTGATGGTTACTGGTTATGTCTCTGTTTATTGTCCAGGGTGACACCCACCTCCACCAAATGACTGCTGGGACTGCCTGCCTTCAGCTCCTGCAACTGTGAACAGATTTTAGTGGTACAGTTACATTTCATATCAAATGTTCTGCTATTCTTTCTCAGTTATTTAAGTTTTTATTGATGTATTTTGGCTACGTAGTATATGGGAAACCAGGATTTAAAATATGCAAGAGTTAACAGAAAATAAGGCCAGCAATCATAAAGTCAAATATTGGATAACAGATAGCACCCAAAAACTAACATTTACCAATAATAAAGTTAGTAAAACGTATAGAAAAGTGAGCAAACAAAAACTAAGACGCCAAATTAAATCAGATGGCTAACATAGCAAAAACTGAAATTTGCCAGCAAAAATATAGATTTACATGAGCTAATATTTGGTTAGCCAAAATTAATAAACTAAAAACAATGGATTAGAAGATGGATTAGAGCTATTAGAAATGAACATGTTTGTCCAAAAACTAAAAGCTAAAAGTTGACTTTTAGTTTGCCCCAAACTAAACTAGCTAAAGGTAGCAAATAAATTGTGAAATCACAATTAGCACAAAACATTGCTACACAAAAAAACATTGCAAAATGTAGCTTAATCATGTCTCCCAAAAATAATTTGAAAAATTGCAAATGCTTAAAGTTTGGTTCACGATTACTAAAATTTGGGCAAAATTAGTCGAAAAAAGTCAAGGACAGAACAAAAGTATTTGGAAATGCTGAAAAGGTAACTGTTTTGTAGTCAATAAAATTAGTTATGAGACATCTTAAAGCCAACAATCAACAAGTTTAAAAAAAAAAAAAAACTTTGTGTAAACAAAAGGTACACAGTTGAAAAACAAAATATTGAAAAGAGTGGTGACGTTTTTTAATTAATAATACAACCACATTTTGGGGGGGAAAAAATCCTGAACTATACCTTAAAAAAATGCCTTGTATTTCTGTCAACATCTTTCATTATTGCAATCAAATACATTTGTAAAGATGAAAAAAAAAAAAAATGTTGTGGAATACAGTAACTGTTCTATCTGTACATGTGTTCAAGAAAAGCAAGCATGTTACTCCGTCCTCCATATGTACAGCTACACTTTAACTTTTTTTTTATACCCAATATACATATTTACTAATTTTCACAGTTTTCTATTTTGCAGGTATATTCACAGATTTGATTTTCGTTATTATAAGTACAAATACCTTGGTGGTGCTGCAGCTACAGCATGTCCAGCATTGATATCTAGAATTGTCTCTTTAACGCTGTTCATCATCTGCAAACAGCAGAAAAATTGTGATTGTGGTTCAGTTTTTTTCTTGTTGTTTCACAGCGATCCTTCCATTAAAAATGCACAGTTTCATGTTGACAGTTTTCTGGTCTTCATTATTGGTTATCATAAATGATGATATATTACTGTATTGCTCCTGCTCTGCTCCTCCGTGTTATCTCGCTAGAGTTTCACCAGTCGATTTCCATGAGCCTAAAAGTCAAAGTTAATCCTGCCACTGGTCTCGTCACAGTTAGATTTTGGAGGCCTCCGTTACCCAGAACTCTTTTCCAGCTCCTCGGTCCTCACCTGTTTTGCCCCCCCCTGTTGGAGGTGACTCGTTGTGTGACTCCTGTTCTTTGTGGGTAGTTTTCATTGGCAAATCCGTAGATTCTTGTTGGAGTTTTTAAGGCACTTGAGAGGTTTTTGGTTTTTAAGGGAGCTCAGAGGAGACAAGGGCCAGGCCGGAGCTCTGTCGTAGAGGTGGTCCGGCGTGAACGGCCTTGGGGCAGTCGGGGGTCAACACCCGTCCGTTCTCTCCTACGCTGCCCGTGATGGAGAGACGCGCTTTATTTCTCATGGCTTCAGTAAACGTCAGCTGTGGAGACACGAGAAAAAAATGACAAAAAAGACAAAAGCTTTGTCATTAGAAGAAAAATGTCGAGCAGTCAGTAAATTTCAACACAAAATTTGTGTAGACACTTTAAAGAGGAGTGAGAGAATTTTTCCACCTAGGTTTAAAACAGCAGCTGAAACTGCAACAGCAAAGCTAATGATGATGATAAAGTGACATAAGGGCAAAGCAGCGATACTATGAATGATAAATGAAGTAGAGCTGGTTGAGAATGTGGTGGTGAAAAACCTGGGTAAAATGAATCCTGCAGCAGGGAATTATTAATTACCATATTTTGACTTTGGCCTTGCAGTACTCTAGTCTTGGAAAACTCCTCTGAAAACTGAATGGGTTTTTTTTTATCTTCAGGTATCAATTTCCAAATTAGTTGAAAAAATAATAATAATGACTCTGAAGACATTAGCAATTTAGGATTTAAAAGGCATTTTTCAAAGTGTGGTTTATGACATCATAAGAATGCCCTATATGAAAATGATGGCAGTAGGTTGGCATTTTAAAAAGTGCATAGACTTGTCTGTGAGTGTCACACAGCACTGAAGTTAACACTAAAAAGACAAATGCTCTGCAATTTTGATGGAATGTCCAAGACATGAGTTTGTACGGACAAGTTTGTACAAATCAGACATTGACCCTCATCTATCTCTCATTTTATATTACTTTTTCCTGATATACTGTATATTATTGTACAAATCAGACATTGGCCCTCATCTATCTCTCACTTTATGTTACTTTTTCCTGATATACTGTATATTAACAGGCATTTTCATTTTTAAATTTTTCAATGAATTACAGTGGACCCTCTCCTATCGTGGTAGCTGCGTTACAAGACCCACCGTGAAAAGAGAAAATCCGCAAAGAAGAGGCGAGATAGTTATTTACGTACGTATATATTTACCTCACACTGTTATCAACCCTCCCTAGACTGTACTACCCTGTACTATCCTTTACTCAATTACAGTATATGTACAGTAGAGTTGTATAATGGAAATATAGAACATACATATTACCTAAATAAATAAAAACAAGATCATGATTAATAGTGTAAAATACTTTCTAATTCTGAATTAAAATTCAAAGTACATGCACATTGTGGGGGCGCGGTGGACGTTAGCGCTCAGCTGCCTGAGGGAGAGCACGGGAGTGGCGACGCATGTGCAGCCCAAGACGAATGTGAGTGGAATTCGGACAGACTGTATATAAAAGCCAGACAGAGCACAGGAGGGAACATTATGGTAAAGAAAAATAAAGGCTGTTAACTGTCATCTGTGTCAGCGTCTTCGTTTGGGCTTCGTAACAGAAGATGATCAGAGTGTTTAGGGGGCATCGTAGGACATGTTAATATTTTTTAGGTTAGAAAATGTCATGAAAATAATGTACATATTGGAAATTTAAAAAATAAATTATTTATTGTAAACTACCGCGATATGACAAATCTCTCGCAATACTGGAATAAAAAAAATCTGCGATGTACCGAGGAAGCGAAAGGAGAACCGCGATATAGAGAGAGGGACCACTTTACTTAAAAAATTGCTTCTAAAAATTCTAAATTGTAAAGTCTAAAAATGGTTATCAATCATGGATCATGATTTCCCACTGAGGTCAGAATAATAACTAATATTATGACTAATATATTTTAGAATTTGATAGATTTGTCCTCCTGATAAATAAGGGCCAATGTCTGCAGCCCAACAAGCTGCGAAGCAACCGAAGCAAGTCATGTCTGGGAATGACCCACTGCTTCCTGTCACAGTGAGGAAAAAGCTCTAACACTACCACAAAGTGAGCGGCTAGGGCAGAAGTAGGAAGCATTGTTTTGCCACTAGTCACGACAATTAGCACGGCCAAGCTGGTGTGCGGGAATATGTTAGGTTTCACTTACAGACTCTGCAGCGAGCTACTTGAAGGAAGGACAAAACCACCCTGACTACACCTTATCAGCTTCCCTATCTCTGACGGACACACTGAAAACCTCGCTACACTCCTCTAAGTTGGGGATGCTCGGGGTCGGACTCTGGGTTTGGTTCTGGCTCCGCTCAGCTAAGCTATTGTGGGGGCTGCCTGACTCGCAGGGGTAGCAGTGGCCGTGGGGGGAGTGGGGAGGGTTGTGACGGTAGTGCTGTGTCTCCACCTTCATTCTTTTGGCCTCGTTGCGTGACTTGTAGCAGAATTCGATGAGGGCCACCAGCATGGCCAGGCCCAGGCCCCCCACCAGGATGTAGAAGACCCCCGCCACGTTGCTTAGGCTGAGGGCCTGGGATGACTTGTCCTGTGGTTGACGGGGAGAGGAGCAAAAGATACAGAAATCAACGTTGATTTTAGCAGAACAGCAACACGCACACATACACACAGAACATCAACACACACAGGCGACAAAATGACTGACCAGACTGACAAACTCCACATCAACTGGACACCATGCACACGAAACCTGGCCACATTCACACAGACGTAAATTTCTGATTTGGATCCTGCCCGGAATATATTGAAGAGATCAGTTTAAACAAAATACAAAAAAGATTTTGGCTTTTTTTTAAGATTTCACTTTAAGCCTTTCAGACAAGCATTTTTATTTACGCACTTGTTTCGCATCATCTGTATTAGCAATTTCAGCTGCAGTACTGAGGCAACATTATTTTCTTTTTTTTTTGTCAAAGGCCAATTATCAAAACACAAGTACTTTCCATCAGAACCACAGATTCCTGACAGTCATATTATAAATACTTATAGCATATATATATAAAAATATATATATATTTTAACAAAACTAATTATTCAGAGGTAGGGTGTAGCCAGTGACGCCTTCATTGTCTTAGGAAAACACTGCACTAGAAGACTCCACTCACGGCTCCAAGTCACTATTTGTGGCATTGCAAAAAAAATGTTTACAATTTAGCTGTCGTGCTGCCTTACATTTAAAAGCTGAGAATCCAGTTCAAACATATTAAGGCTACCGCTGCAGATAACAAATAAAAAAGTGAAATTGAAATGTACAGGAGTTTGTATTTTGATTGAACTGATCCTTTACTTTCCCCCTGTATTTAATGTGCGGCCCTGCCTCTGACCTTTGGCCTTTACCTTCACCAACGCGTTTTATTCTAATGTATGCAGATGATCTGTCTTGAGTTCTGACTCATCTTTCCTTGAATGCTCCAACAAACTTAGGGAGGGAATTTTACGAGTGTGTACTTAAACAACCATTTTGTGCAGCAACATACATTAAAATAGACACAGGAGATGTGAAAATACAGCAGAAAATTTTGTATTTTACTTGTGGTCAGCCCTTAACAATAGAACTATTGAATATTTAGGGGCATTTCGCTTTAATAATTTCATACTATAGGAAAGCGTTTCCTCAGTGTGAGCATCTATAGCACTCAGTGTAGCTTTAGCTGCTAAAACTGTAAGAGCTACAGCATTATTTCTGTCATTCTGTATCCCTCAGGCTACACCTTAGGCCTCTCTCCATCTGCAAATCCATCACTTTCTCAATGTTGTGTGTGCGTGTGTGTGTCATTCTAACAGATAACTGTCAGCCTTATAAGTGTGTGTGCGTGTAAAGACAAAGAGAGGAGAGGGGAGGAGAGGGAGGCTCCCGGGCTGGTGGAGACTGACCTTACTTCCCGAGTCCTTGGGTCCACACTCCCCTTTATCGTACCACCATTTGTTTTTCAGTTTGTCTAAGACTCCTGCTTCACTCAGTTTCAATACGGCAAGGTTTACAGGCGTTCTTCAAATCACGAGGGCCGGGGAAACGGGGGCAGGAAGGGTAGGGTGGGGAAAATAACATAAATAACATCATAGCACATGTTATTTTATGTTATTCAATCAGAAGAAGCCCAACAAGAGCAGCTCAGTACTCTTCACAAAGCGACAAAGCTGGGAAGGCACCCCCAAGTTATGCTACATGTCTCTCTGCTCATTGAGGTCAATGTTTGTGGGGAATTTAGAGATGGTTCACCGGGGAATGAAGAGCTAACAGACACATAAGCACAGGGCTCCCAGCTGCATCGCTTTTCTGGAACAGGCACATACTGCCGGGACCTTTGTATTCACAAATATAGGGGCTAGTACTGTCAACCCAAAATTATTGGCTTAAAGACATGCACCCAGTGTTTTAAAGTACGCTCCAATAGCCAATCTACTGTCATCGTTTTCATTTAGGGCATACTTGTGATGTCATAAACCACACTTTCAAGTCATTGCTATTAGCAGAAAAACAGTCCAGCAAATACTTTTGCTCTAACAGTACTAGCTCCCCTCTCAGATACTTATAAATATGTAAACCAATATTTCCAGGCCTTAACAGCTCCCTCTCAGTGTGTCGACCCGGCAGATGCCCCTGTTTACCAGCAAAAACACATTTTCTCTTTTTACCCATATCACAGTCACATGGGCAAAGCGACATTGCGGCTAACCTTCTCGCCACCGCCTCCGCTGCCACACTCTCCTTTGTCGTACCACCACTTGTTTTTCAATTTGTCCAACAGGCCTTGCTCATTGAGTTTTAACACTGCCAGGTTAACTGCACTTCTTGAAAACGATAAAACATATTTGATGAGAGGGCGAAGTGAGGTGAGTAATATACTATCCAATTTGAGGGTAGGAAGGAAGAGAAGAAGGGGGTTAGGAGGGGAGGGAGGAGAAGTAGCAGTAAGAGAGGGACAAAGGTGAAAAAGTGCATCAATGCTCTGAACCCAAATTGCACTCCAGGACATAAATACACACCAAAATCAAATCCTTAAATTTTCTCTTAAGCTCACGTTAAGAAATCATGAAAAAAAAAGTGTTTTAATTGATGAAGCTAATGGGATCTTTACCTGCTTTCCCTGCTGTTAATTCACCAAGATATTGGCTGAGGACAGTTTACATTGACAAAACCTCTAATAGCTGGAGTCCAGGGGAGTTCATAATTTAATTTATTGAGGAGTAATCTTATGGTTTATGGTTCCTAACTACATAACAAAAAGTTAAAAAAAAAGTTAAAGCTTAGCACAACCTAACACACAAAACATAATCAAAGTTTTCCAAACAAACTGGTGAAGTTGAAGCAAAAATTTGCTGTCACCAAAAAGTAATTATAGCAATTTTGTCAAATAGAAAGAAGCAAGTATAGAAATGTAGGTAAAAGTTAGCAAAGGAGCAGCTGAAAACCTGCTGAGATATAGCCAATAAAAAAATGACTAACAAACATATTTGGTTATAGTGAGCCTAATATATCAATGTGTTAGCCAACAATAACTGGACATTTGCCCTGTAGCACATTAAGATTAAAAACTTAGCCAAAGATATTCTCTAAAAGTTAACTGAAAAAGTACTGATCTGGAGTAACTGCCGTTCAGTAGTAGGGTGCCATTAAGATTTATTTTGAAAAGCTAATTCACTGTTACTTTTTCCCAAAATGAAGCTGCTGGCTGCTGCGTGCATTGGTAGTTAAGATGTTTGCCTTGGTGTGTATTTAGATCCTTTCATTTACTGACATTTCTTCACTGTAAGGTAATTAAAAGAAACAGTTAATTAAAGAAAACACGGCTAATATTCAAATTGTGTCTATTCTAAAGGTAAAGTTGTTGTTTTAAGGAGCCATCTCAGAACCAGCAGCCCTGACCAACAGTGCCACTGCCCACTCCTGTACTGCTGCTGCTGGTGTTTCCTTGGTGATATCCAGTTAAGTGACCGACAGAGGACGACAACCCCATGAAAAGAACATGAAGGACCATGGTATCATGATCTGTCAGAGACTCTTCCTGGTCAAAGTCTCAGGTAAACACTGTAACAGCTCCGCAGTAGAAACAGACCCGTAGCTGCTCAGCCGAAATATTTAAGGCTTAATGAAGCCCAACAGAGGGATTTACAGAAAACAACCATGTTTAAATAATCTAAACAATACAGGGTTAGTCTCACTAGAGTCTTTATGGTCCACTTTAGTTAGCCAGAAAGAGGGCCACATTTCAAGCAAACCTGGCCGTGTGACAAGTGAATACCTGATACAGCCCATAAAATACTATATGTAAACTACACTAGGCCTGCATTTATGTGCTGTGTCTACAAATTAACTAGGTGTAAAACCAGAGCCCGTCCAGCTAAAAAAAAAGCACTCTAACTGCAGGAATTGAAGAAAGACACGAGATTTTCATGCCCTTCTGAGTCTCTTTTTTAGTTTTTAATCACTGTCTGCTGCCACCTAGGGGAAGATTATTTAATTATCTGACAATATATTATCTATATACTGTATATATATAAATACATACATATACATACGGTTGGGGAGCAGTGCAGTAATGACACTATTCTAGGGCAGAGCTGTAAATCCCTCTTTTTTATAGAAAGACAGTGACAGAGTTGGTTAGAGTCGCCCAGGGCTGAGCAAACAAATGGCTCCTAAAACACAATGTCAGTTTAAATTTTTAAGGAAAGGCCCTGTTCACTGTGAAGGAAGCTGCAAACAAATGAGCTCAATATCACAATCATAGTTCGTGTAAAGGTGGAGTATGCAGGAATTTTTTTGGCAGACAAAGAATGCATTTCTTTTTCTTTCCCCTCAGGGCACGCTATAAGAATGTCTTTATTTTTTAACTGTTGTGAAATTCAGATTTGACACAGTTTTATATCTAAAGACAGCTATGTCTGAGGCAGCAGTCCATCAAAGCTGGACAGGCCAAGGTAAGGCGTTTAGGTTGGTGTTGCATGTTGAATAGAGCTGTACACCTTCAACAACAATGCAACAAAAGTCATTTTATGCCCTATTTTGATTCACGTTTCAAGAAATTCCTACATACTCTACCTGACTTTTGTTTTCTCCATCCTAAAAAAAAAAAAATGTCATGCCATTCCCCAATGTTTGCCCAAACAGCAAGCACTAGCATAGAGATTTACCTGGTGTTGATCACTGTAAAAAAGACAAATTATATAAAAATAAAATCTACCCCATGCATGTTACAAACATAATAGTATTAATAATGATAACAACAAATCATAAACAATAATTAAACAACCAAAAAAATTATAAAAATAAATCATAACAAATCTCCCCCTCCCCTAGTAAATGGAGAAAGAGAGAAAAGGCGGCACACCAGGGAAGGTGGAATACCATAACAACACGTAGGACATATTGTTACACTATTCCACCCACCTTAACTGTGAACCCTTGGGAGTGGCTACTCCGTAGCCTTTGGAGTCCAAGTTTCCTCCCACTTTCATTGTGTCGCAGGGCTTGCGCTGCTCCGTGTACTCATTCATGGTGGACTCCAACAGGAAGGCGTATTTTCCTTTGGATTTTCGGACCCGGGCCACGCCCTCTGCTGTGGTCTTGGTGAAGACAGTGGGCTCAGCTGACTTCATGTAACCCCACATCTTCTCATAGACAGCGATCTTTGACCGCTGTGGGGATTCAGATTAGGGAGGGAGAGAGGCATAACCACAATTACGACAAACAGAGTTCACATCAACTACACAAGTTGACGCATATTTGATCTTGCCATGTATTACTTTGACAACGACTAAGTGTAGTTGATGATCTCAATTCAACTTCAAGTTTCAAGGAAAAATAAAAATTATCCTCATTTTAGTTAAATGTTAGCCAGAAATGTAGCTAGAAATGTAAAAGAGAATAACAGAATAATGGCGATAAATTAAGTATACCCTTGAGAATGAGTAAAAATTAGTAAAGATAACTTTTTCTAGCAATTATAACAAATATTTTAAGATTTTTTTTAAAATGGTAAGTAGCATATAGAAAATGACAAAATGGCCAAATAGCAAATACCACAAATGACACAGTCCATTCATCCATTTACGTACCCTGAAGAACTCCTTGGTGGATCCAGAGTCTAATGTACCATAAGCAATGTCTGTCTGTTTGGCCAGATCCTCAGCACTCTCGATGGGAGAAACCATCCTCTCCACAGTGAGGAAGGCAGCCAGGTTGGCTGTATAGGATGAGATGATGATGAGGGTGAAGAACCACCACACACCTCCTACGATTCTCCCTGATAAAGACCTTTTGGAAGGAAGAAAAGAGGGAGCATGAAAGGGAAAGATGGAAGGAAGAGAAAACAGGGGGAAAAGAAGGTGCAGCACAAAGAAAAAGAAAGTCAAGGTTAGCATGTGGTTGCACAATTTCAGTGGAGTATGATTCAGTAAGCCATGACAACCACAGGGTGGAGCTCTGACAACACAAACCTAACAGAGCTGCTCGTATTCATTCATTAGAGCAGATGACTTCATAAAACAAGGTCCCATGTGCTTGTGTCAACTACAGATGCTAGAAGAGAAAAAAGACACGCAACCCCCCCCCCCCCCATCCCCCACTTTGTTTTTTTTGTTTAATGTGGGATGAAAGAAGCTGCAGGTCGCCCCGCGACGTGGCCAGGCCACTGTTCTTTTCTTGTTTGTTCGCTCGGGGGAGACAGATAGCTTGCTGCTCAGGAGCAGCAGAAGGTCGTGAGGAGAATCCTAAAGCATTAATGCTGCATTGAGGAGAACAAACAAGACCTCCCCTCGGTGAGAGTCAAACAGCAGAGGATACAAAACCCTCAGGCCGCCTGGTCTGATAGAGAAGGGAGTGAGAGAGGCATTTGCCAACACTCTGTGTTGTGCCTGGCTGCTATTTCAACTGTGTCTTATTACAATCTGCTTGAAAACCTATTGTTCCCAGTACACAGGATGTACTTTGTGCTCTGTGTCCCAGAATCTGCAAGCACTGTGTAAAAAACAATCCTATTCAACCATTCTTTCTAAACCACAAAACAAAAGTGATTCTGCTTTTTAGGATTTTTGACGCTAGATCTTTTCTGGTTCTCACTTGACTGTGTCCAGTAAACCAAGTTAGCAGCCTACAAATGTGAACCCTCCGTTATGGTCTCCTGGAGTGCTGCAAGTATTGACTTGAAGTCATTATTTTTCCTTTATTCATATTCTTCACATTTTTCACTCCAGTAATCTGAAATTTTCCACATCAAAAGGGCCATTTTTAATCATTTTAAAGAGGACAGTGGCACTACAGTATCTGATACAGTAAGTTGGCATTTTTAGACAGCTGAACCATTCAAAATATGAGTCATGAATGTGTTTGTTTTGGTCTCTTTCATGAAACTTTACTGGTAGCTAATGTGAAGAGTCTTAAAAAACTCAGGAGCCAGACACCTGTCAAAATCTTTCTCAAGGTTGCTGCTGGAGTTGCTTGCTTAAATTAAATATAGATTTAAAAAAACCCAATCAAAATAGCCAAAAAAGCCAAATGTCAGAAATATTGACTAGAGGGCTAAATATTTGCCTAAAGTGATTTGAAGTAAGCAAAGATTTTAAGAACATGACATTTATGTTTTCATATTTTAACTACAAAAAAGGGATCCAATGTAGCAATGAATGTTGCATAAGCTAGTGAGGACAGAGCTACGGTTAGTAAGACCAATTATCCAAAAAAACCTTAAAAGAAAAGCTAAGAGTTAGCCAAGAATATTAGATATAATTAGATAAGATAATTAATTACATTAGATAATATTAGAAAAAACTTAGGTTAGAATGAAGTGCAAATCAAGCAAAACTAGCTAAAATTTAGAAATGAGAATACTGGGAGAGCGATAATCGGAGCAAAAGAAGAGGAACATCCTGTTGTTGTCCTTCCGACCCACTTAACGGGTTTTCAGCTAAATCTGATTCGGAGCGACACACTGTCAGCTGTGTAGCCCTGCGGTGAACAGAGTGGGTGGTGATATGGGTGGAGTCACTGGGTGTAATGTTAAGGCCACATTGGTACTTCATCCTCTATAACTAATAACCTTGAATGGATGGTGTCTATACACAATGTCAGTGAATCATCTGTGACACACACAGCCAGCAGAGGGTGGAGTCGCAGCTGAGTGGATCACTGATCAGGTCATTCACCCATCTGAGGAAGTTGTTTTTAATTGTTGCAAAAATATAATCCAGTCTTCGCTCTCTCTGGGTTCTGCCAATGATTAAAATATATTTCAAAAGTCCTTTGATGAACTCTTGATTCCACACAGATGCAGTCAGATCCTGTCTCTGTGTCTATAATTTGCAGGAATGATGCAACCAATCACTGGAGGCTGAGGAAGGACAAGCTGCTGGCTGACTCCGGCTGCAGGTGATGCAGCTGAACGGCGGCATGTCATCTGCATAGCAAATCTAATTGGCGTTGAATTAATGGAATAATGGAGGATCCTGCAGATAGAGCACTTGAAAGTCATTTAATCTTTCTGACGCAGCTTTTGTTGGGAACCGAATTTGGAGTCTAAATTAGAAGTTACGCTTCATCTGCAGCTGTCAGGGATTCAAGCACACGTGCGCACACACCCCAGCTCACACACACACACAGGCACTTTGAGTTAATCAGGACAATCAGCAACGCTCTCATTAGCTACACAGAGATGTGGCAACTGTGACTTACGGAGGAGACAAAGACAATTTGTCCAAAGCAATAAGAAGGCAACAAGTGGAGACACCTGGCCTGTGAGCCATTACAGATTACACCTGCACGCATCAACAGCAGCAGCTCTGTAACATTGGTTTCAACATTAATGTGAAGTCTGACAGCATGAAGAGAGGAAGAGAAAGAACAGGTAACCAGAGTCTAACCGATGTGGGATTTTTGTAGTAACTTAAATGGAACGATCAGGTCACTTCCTCGGTAAAACACCGTTTCCACTGAGACACTGCCACCAGAGACCACTGCATTAATCACTGAATTTATTATTACGGGCTGCCTGGAGGAACTTGGACCTGACTGAGAGAGAGAGGGAGAGAAAATACTGTCTATTTTAATTTATATACTTTAGAATTATGATGTTAAATTCAGAATCATGTCAGATTTGTAACTCAGAAATAAAATGCAAATTGTTGAAAACAAAAATGGATATATGCTTCCTTTTGGTCATTTTCAGTCAAATAATCTGTCCTGTTGATTCATTTATTAAGTTCTTAAGAAAAAGGCAAGCTTAAAGTCCCCTCAAATGTTGTTCTACTTATGTTAATTCTTGGAGATATCCAAGAATTAACATGTAAGTTATATAACACTTTATAATTGAATGATTGAATGATTTAAGGTCATTTCTTTAAATAACATGATATACATTCCTCGTCTATTGCACTTCCTTGGGCATTGACTCAGGCAACTAGGTCAAGATGTCCAATTGCCCCTGTCTCACTCTCTGACCTCCCCCTGTGTAATGGGACTGGCATGTTTTTGTGCTGTCTGGTTAAACTGGCATCAAAGTTCCATGCCCAGGTACTGATGGATTGTGAGATCCCCCAGTGGAATTAGCTGTGACAAGTGCAGTGTAGGGACCAGAACCACAGAAGGACAAAATGTAGACTTTTTTTTTTTCATTCAGAGGACAGTATTGTTGTGAAACCCTGAACGCCTAATCTGCTTTACACAGATAAAGATGGCAGTGGTGGTGATGGTAGGGCGAATGGTCTTAAGAACATGTGAACAGAGCCAGTGTATCTTAAATGAGTGTGCTTAATCACAGTCACAGGGCCACTATAGTCTCCTATCGAGGGTGAGGTTGGGCTTTAATTAAGAAAAAGCTCTAATGTACCTCCAGATCCTCCATCCTGTGTCTGTCTTTGTTTTCTTCTGCTGCTGGCGAGGCTGAAAGATACAGGCCAGTTTGGTCCTCCTTTCATCTCCTAAAATCTTACCAACTCTATTATAGAACAAGACTGTGAACGCTTAAAGCAGATGAAAGATATAAAATATGAAACCATATGAGTCCTGAAATAACCCAAACTGTCATCTGCTGGAACTTTAAGCCAGACAAAGCCATTCCAACAGTTGAGGGTGACACAAAGATGACATTTCAGGCTTTAGCAGCCTGTGTTGTACCATTACCAGATAATGTCACTGTGTGATGAAAGACTAACAGGGAGCCTAAGCTTTGACTGAAAGACAACCATTCTTTAAAAGCTAGACAGAAGAATAAACCACACCAGCCTCAGTCCTCCAGCCTTTGGCCAAAGTCCACCCACAATGAAGACTGATTTATGGCCACAGGTTGTGTCAGAGTGGACTATACGTACATGGAGCTCAGTGTCATCCACTACAGTAGACAAACAAACAAGCCATCAGCTGTGAGCATGTCTTAATCACCATATTCTAATCCAGTTAAGAAAATGTGGATCAATTTGAGTAGCAGCTGTTTCATGGCGTTCATGTCATTTGTCTTCTTTTCTCTTTTGACTCATTTGCAACAGAACAGTATTTCTCTTTGCATCCATGAACGCTATTGCTTCTAGAACAGTCCTGCAGTGCAAATGTCTGTCTGACCAGACCCACATTAGATCAGTTCCAGAGTCTTTGACATCCATCCAATAGTCACCATTAGCTCTGCCAATTCAGTCCCAAGGGATGAAGGTCAAAGATTAGAAATGGAATGGTGCCTTTGATGGTGGCTCTAACATGTTTGTCTAATAGTTTGCCTTCGGAATTGCAGAGTTCATAATCGCATGGGAAAATAGCATCATTTAGCAGCTAAGATGGAGGATAGTGGCCATAAACCAGACCTCACCTCTGTTTGTTTTTTTGTCCTGGACTTTGGTGAAAGGAAAAGGACAATCAGAAATTCAATCATGAAAGACGACACCTGGACAAACTTGTACTTTCAGACAGCAGATTCACCAAAGAACCCTTGGTTACTGACGTAACAGAGGTGAGAAGCACAAGTGCGAAGCCATATTTGACAAAGCTGACAAACACGGAAACGCTTTTTTTTTTTTTACACAAAACAGAGTTGCTTCAAAGTCAGACAGATGTCCGAGAAAGAGGGAGAGAGACAGCAATTATCAACTCTCTCTCTCTATCTACCCTTTGCACAAATAATATGCAGTAGTTGTGTACATGTTGTACATGCGTGAAGCAACTATCCATGAATACACAGCAAGAGCAAAGTAACACATAAGACAATAAAACTAAATGTCCAGTGAGACAATACTTAACCAATGTTCTCATGCAAGCTACCAGTGATGTAAAGCAAGGGCAAAAATAATGTTTTTACATGAGGCTGAATAAAAAATATACATTCAAAATCATCATGTCTGAACATATATTATCAGCAAAATCTTACTCTGTGGTAATACTCTCGTCTGAAGATTTTTTATAACTTTGCATTTATTAAATTCCAACTTACTTTAGTAAATATGTGCTTTCAGCAAACTGTAACCTAACTTATAGTATCTTTGGGTTAGAAAAATACTTTTTTTAGCAAACTTTTAGCTACAATGTACTTTCTGCAACTGCAAGTTGTTGATAAATTATGAAAACTCAATAGTAACATATCATGTGACTGACCAGTAAATTACAAAAATAGCACTGACTTTTTAGGTTAAAACCATTTTACCTTTAGTCTAACTTTCATATTTTGTGACCAACGGTTTTGCTGTGTTCTGACTATTTGTTATTAAACTCATTAACCTTTAGATACTTCCAGTCTTACATCTAGGTATCCATCTCTTCTAGATGCACAGAAAGGACCTCAGCACGGTACTTACAAATAAGTTAAATCAGTGATTCAAGGCCAAATTCTTGTGGTTTTACCCCTTTGTTTCCATTCAATACCTTATCAGAATGTTCTGAAAAAGTTTGCTCTCATCATGTTTATTATGTGGGTGAATGAATGTAGCTTCTCACCTGGGAGAGATGTCACAGCCCTGCTGCATGAAGGCGCCCAGGGAGAACCAGAGCGAGTTGAAAATGCCGAACTCATTGGGAGGCTGGTCACTAGGCGGACCGTCAGTGCCCTCTTCGGGCTCCTCGGTGTGCCATTCGTACGGGCTGAAGCGGCTGACCAGGAAGAGCACCACGCTCACGCCGATATAGGCGAACACGATGCACATCCAGATCTCGTAGGCCAACGGGTCCAGGAAGGAGAACACCCCCGGTTTGGATTTCTGGGGCTTCTTGATCATTATGGAGATGCCCAGCGACATGAAGGGCTTAGAAAAATCAATCACCTCCTCCCGGACCAACGTGATAGTCAAAGGGGCCACAGCGATTTCCGCTTTCTGCGGGATGCAAAGATAGCGGAGTTAGATAAGTTTTAGCCTCACGGAGAAAAAAAACTTAATCCAAATCATCTCTCAGAGCGGTGTCACGAACACTTTGTTTGGTAAACGTTAGGGCTAAACGTTACCCGCTGTAACCGTATAGCTGTACTACAACTCTCACCTGTTAGTGGTGATCGCCAAAATGTATATCTACGTCATCTATAGCCACAAGAGGGCACCGCCCACAGTTGTGAAAACCGAGAGCATTACACCATATTAAAATTCTTATAACTTGAGAGAGAGAGAGAGAAAAAACCCTAAACAAAACAATAAATTAAAATTTTAAATAATCTGCATAAAAAACAAAAACAAATCAGAATTAACCCGTGTCTACTGTGGTATAGTCCAGCAGTGCCACTATACTGTTGTCTAATGTTATGCGTAACAGTGAAGTAATGCAGCTACATACAGCTACATACACAGTATCTACTTAATTGATTAATGGCTTAATAATGAGGGGGAAAAAATAAAGTTTTCTGACATTGACAGGTCAGGAAGAAGTAAAATAAGACAGAGAAGAAAAAAAAAGAGAAAGATATAAGTTCTTTCATTCTCAGCAAAATGCACTGACATGACAGCCCCAGGGCATTTAAATGTGTGCTGAAATAACGTGATGGGTTAAAGGCAGCCTGGGCTTTTTCAGCCAGTGCCAGGAAGAAGTGAATGGTCTCTGAGCAAAGTGCTGACAGCCTCCATGTCCCCACATAGTCCCATGAATGCTGTCGAGGAAGAAGAAGCTACTAGCTGCCCACGAACATCCGCCCAGAACACAATCTATTGTTCTCCACTGGCTAATAAAATGTAGTGTATAATAAAATTGTGTTTTGTTACACAAGAGCAAAATCATTGTTTCTTCTGGTCTTTGCGTAAACATGTATCTCAAATACTGTTTTTGGTAAATACCCACCAGGAAGAATGGTTTTCAGAGGGATTTGTTTCTCTTGCTGTATGGTTTGTTTATCATTTTACATAATAGCTCTCAAAAGAAAAGATTCTGCACTTTCCAAACAGTAAAAAATAAAAAATTCTTATATATATGGAGGACAAAATAAGGAACAGTAACACAACATACACAAGCGCTGAGTCAGAGGCAACTTTGTCATAAGGTCCCATCCCAGTGTCTTTAATTTATACTTTTCAATTATTAAAGAACTCAGAATCCAATTAATTTGTTTGTGTTTTTGCCTAAAATGTTTGCTGTATTTTTTTCCTTTTTTTTTCTTTCTAGCTAATCACTAGTTACCGTTGTCGTAATCTCATTATGCTCATTAGTTTCCTGACAATGGAATTATCAAAGGAACACCTGTTATGTTTTATTGAAATACAATACAAACAGCAAAGGCTAAACTGTAGGTTAAGTATTGCGTATGAAGAGGTAGCGATGTAGTAATTGTATATGTAAAGACAAGTACTTTTACTATGTAATATTTCCTGCCATAAATAGTACTGCAGTGGTCTATATTAGCAAACTTTTAAGAACAAACTTTTCATTGTTGACATTAGATATGAAGAAAATGTTTCGAACATGGCCGATTCTGCTCTCCCTGCTCGTTAAACTGGGAAAAACGACACAATGTTGCTTCCTGTTCTTTTGACTGACTGTCAGTCTCTTTACACCAAAGGTGCAGTGTACTGTTACATACTGATCACTCCTGACACCTCCTCTTCTCAGCTAAAGAAACGGCCACTTTGTACATGGGTATCTTATGTCACTCCCCTCCACCTGCCCCCAAAAACACGCCAAAAATGTCGTCTTTTTTCGCGTGTGTGTCAAACTTTGTCTACCTTTTTTGTGCGATAGACTCAAGAGAGAGAGACATTTATCCAACAAAGATATTTTTGGATTAGAACAAAAAGACTTCACTAAACCTAGATCAAACTTTAATTCCCCCCAAAATGTTCACACATTTACAGCTCCTGAAATGATCCCTTTCCTCGCTCTTGCATCATTTCTAATATGCAGAGATCTCAGTGAATTAAATCATCACCTCAGAGATTCTTTAACAAGCTCCACACCCAGTGTTTCTCCTTTATAACTCCCCCAAAAGCTTTGCTCTAATCCTGCATTAATTCATTTTTCTTCCTGCTGGCGTGGAAGACCACCAGAGACTTGCAAACTTGCCTGTTTGCAGCTTCATTTGTGATGCGTTTAATTATCTGCACAACAAATCAATGAATAAAACAAACTCTGCAAATTAAACATTTACAAATTATGTGAAAGTGATTAAATAAACTCACATAACTGAGCAATTTTTGGGGATTTAGATGAAGTGATATTTAAAATTATGGTACCTGACTGCAGACTATAGTCGGAATGTAAAGTATTAGGAAGTACACTGAAAGGGCTCCACTAGGTTCAAAAGTAATGGAATGTATTTTGTGGTATTAATTATAACAACAGGGAGTTGATTGTTGTGAGTGTTAGCTTAAAATTTTCTCTCACAGAAAACCTTAAGCTGGGTTTTAGTTTATTTCAAAGTTCATTTTTACAACAACAGCTGAACTTCTTAGTTTTATCTAAAGTCATAATTTGAATATAGATGAACTGCAAACTGTCTTTTTTCTAGTAACGTCTTATTTATTATTATTCAAAAGCAGCATAAAGCAGATAAAAATGTTAAAACTCACCCCGTACACCAGCTCCCCGACCATTCCATTCCAGATCTTCGTCTCTGGGTCCCGGGCGCCATATTTCCCATCAGGAACGATGGAGATCTTGTACTTGATGCCAATGTGTTTGGCGATCTCCGAGGCCAAGTCCACGCAGTAGCCCTCGTACTGGTCGTTGCCCTCATACATCTCCCAGTTCTTCTTTAGCATCACGTAAGGACCCTCCTAAACAAGGGACCATAACCAGTGAACCAGACCATCAGACCCACAGAGACACACGGAGAACACAGACAAACACAAAGACTCACACAGCTACTCATCAACACAACAATCAACATCAACAGAATGATAAACAGCAAGTTTAGTGCCAGCTAGAATCAAGGAGTGGGAAATGTTTGGCCAGCAGGGGTACTATATAGCAACTATTGACATGAGAGAGGTCTATATTTGATTAAATCTTAAACTGCTTAATATATCACTGATACAAAGTTACATCCTGACCGTTCATTTTTAATATGCTTCTTTTTTACATTTGCTACTTTCACAGAGATAACAGTCACAACAGTTTTTGACTTATGTATAAGCAGTTGTGCTAAGTTTTTGAAAATGATTTAGTATTTTGGCTAAATGTGTGGAGAAAATTAAAAATATAAAGTTTTTCACAGTTTGTGTTATTTTAAGGAAACAGTTTAATACACAAGTTTAATACACAATGTTTGTAATGTATGTGTGTATATATTACCCTAAATTCTTCACCAATTCCAACAAAAACAAACATGGATTAGTTAATTTCTCCCAAATTATGATAATAAAAATCTGCGTTTAATAAGATACAAAAATTTCATGGAGTGGATTTTTATTCTGGCTAAATGTCAAGGTCAAACAGCAAAATTCCATTTGATTGATGATGACGAGAGTGTATGAGAGCAGTGTGTGGGGGCCAAGGGAGTGTCAGGGAGATGAAGGATTGAGTGTCTGGCAGCAGAAGAAGAAAGCAGAGCCTGAGAGCAGAGAGCAGCATGTCTGACAGACTGGTCAATAATGACGACCACACAGAGTCAATCACAGTCTAATGAGGCTAATTAAACATGCCATTAACAGCACATGTATACACATGTACACGTTTCATGACACTATTCTACACGTGCGTGTGTGCATGAGTGTGTGTTTGGGGCTTCACCCTCTGTTTGAATATGACGAGCAAAAGGCAGGGGGTAAAAAACTCTGACCAAATTGGACAATAATTGGTCTCGACTCTTTACTACATGAGATCAGAGACCAGGCCACTGTGATGGGCCAAGAAAACTAGAGAGGAAATAAAACCAGAGGAAATTCAGAGCCGAATCAAGAACAAAAGGAAGAAAAAAAGAAATTTGCAAAATGAAAAACGACAGATGCCAAAAGTGCTTTGTGCTCTTGCCTTTCAGCAAAAAGATCAGAGGATTGCTGGTCTAATCTCCACCCTTTACTCTGTATGTAGTTTGATTACTCTGCTTTCTTGCACAGCCAATGAACACTGACGTTAGGTTAATTTTTCACTCGTAACATGACAATAGGTGTGAATAAGTATGAATGGTTGACTCCAAACAGAGTCCAAACAGTCCAAGGTAAATGCATCCAAATAAACATACCCCACCAAAAAGGATGTTTTAGTTAAGGTTTTAGTAAAGATTAATCATGATTAATCGTGATTATTTGGGCCAAATCTCCAGCTACCCTGGGATTGCACAGATTTAAAATAAACATTATTTTACAATCATTAGAGGAGATGGTTTTTTTTTGTATGTCGTTACAACAACTGGTGATGGTTATGGGCAGTAGAAATATGACGTTTTTGATGATGCATTTCCACAGAGAATGTCTCTCTACTTGTCAGAGGCATGAAGGCATGCATTTTTAAAGCAAACACATGACTGAGAAAGAAAAAAATAATAATGAGGCCTCAGTTGTGAAGTTTGGGAATTAAACTCAAAGACTTGAGTCAGGTCAGGCCTGTGTAGAGTTCCACAAAAACTACATCTCACATCAGTCAGAACTGGGAATACAAAAGCCAGAGAAAAATAACACAGCTGAGAAATCACTAACGACATGAAACAACACAGATTTTGCCCAAACAGAGATTTCCTTGGTCTCAGATGGATGTGTCCCAGATTCTCTGTCATTGTTAAAACTTCTTTTGTTCACTTAACTCCGGTTGTTAAATCTCTTGTTCACTTTAACAGAAAGAAAATCAATAACAAAGTCATCACTGCCTCTTTTTTCATCTTCCTTTTGTTGTTGTTCTGGTACATAAACCCTCCAAAGATTTTTTTTTGTTAAAGTTCAAGCACACAGAGTCCCATGAAGACTTTTGGCAAATATTTGCACAGGAAAAAGGAACTGCTGTCTGACATCTAATGACAGGGCTGATACTGAGCTGACTGCTGCCACAAAGAGAAAACAGGGCTTAACGTCTCTTTATATACAAAAGAAGTAACGTGATAAACAAAACTTTTTTCCCCCCCACAGTCTTATCACTTGAAATTCTGAAATATTTTTTTGTTTTTTGCCATTTATCCCTACTGTTGTTGATGTGCAAATCCCCAAAGACACCCCATGTACTTCATTGCATTTGTGTCCAACAACATTACACACATGAAAACAGCGAACACACGACAAAAGCAGGAGTGAGAGGCAGCCGTCACCATGTGAATTTGATAACATGCTGGATAAAAGCACGGTGGAAGTGAAACTGGGACATTCATGGGGGCTTTGTCTTTGTAAGCTGTTTGAAGGGTTTACAGGAAACCCCCGCATGTGTTTGTTTTGTGCAGCCAAGCAGGTGGGGAAGAGGGAAAAGTCATTTGGTTAGACATGTTGTGTCTGCAACATGCTGGAAAAGTCTAATCTTTCTACTTTCAATTCCATGATGTCCATAAATTCACACTATTGTACGACAAAGCCAAAAGCTGTGATTGGCCACAGAAACACACGTGGGAATGGCACTATATATACAGTATATATATATATATGTATGTATATATATATATATATATATATGTATATATGTATATGTATATATACACATATATAGAGCTTGTTTATGCTTGAACACAGACACTGTAGCATGTGGAGCTAGGGATCCATTTTAGCCTCAATGGGCTTCCATCCACAAGCAGCATTCTTAAAAAAAAGAGGCCCTCTGATTTGCATTTCATTTTCCTCTCGAGTGGCTCCAGTCCCGGCTTAGATTTCAGAACAGAGCGTCCATTACCACAGTTGGTTTGTGTGTGTTTGTGTGTGTGTTTGTCTCGCTCTCCTCTCGCTCTGTGTCCTTAGGGCTTCATTTTGGCTGGACTCGCTGCAGTGTCCGTCACATCACTCTGCCATTAAACTGCTTTCATATCCTGCTTGCGTCCAATCGGGCCTCACTTTCTTAAAATGGGCTTCCTCATCAGGGGCTGAAAAGAGGGAGGATTGTGCTGAGCTGTGACTCTCCATTCCCACCTCCTCCTTCTCTACCTGCATTCAGCTGAACATCAGCTGTAAACATCTGGCTGCTGCTACAGCCCAAGGTTTGAAAGCATGGAATAGGCTGTACACATTTGTCCTCTGAAAGGACAGCAGGGCTTTTCAAACAACATCTGATGTTACCATAAAATAAAATGTAAATAGAAGTTGTCATTACTAAAAAGAGTTTTCCCACAAAATAAACATTATATATTTATTTCAAATATGTGGGAAACTCAAAAGTGACAACAATAACTTAAAGTTTAACCCTGTATAGCGTAAAACTGTCAGTTATTTCAGGCCTTTTATTTGTTTTAAGGACAAAACAGTGGCCAAGTCTGGTCAGAGTTTGAGAAATACATTTTGTTTTTAATGTTACAGGGAGGAAGATTCTGACTCTGCATTTCCTAACAGTGTTATGTTCAGTGTAGCCTCAGCAGCAGCAGCAGCAGTGGCACCAGTGTATGATAAAGTAGCCTGGTTTCAGTAGCATAAATGCATGTGTTTGTGTGTTTGTGTGTGATTTCCTGATCAAGCTATACTTGTCAGGACAAAAACACCAGTGCTGTGGGGACAATTTGTCCAAGTGAGGACAGGTCTGCGAAGAGTGAGAGGGTATTTTGAGGTCTAATTTTTAGCTCAGAGTTAGGATCAAAGTAAGGCACAGGTTACAGTTAAGATTAGACGGTAAGGATTGAGATTAGGTGTGTATTTTCAAAAGGTTAAGGTTAAGATTAGGGGCTGAAGAATGCAGTATGTATATGTAAAGTGCTCACACAACATAAAATATTGCCTGTGTGTGTGTGTGTGTGTGTGTGTAAGCGCATTCTGTCTCTTACCATGATGGTCGTCACCACAACAGTGCGGTTCTCTATGCCAGAAGTGTCGTTAGGGAGCAGTGGAGAGTCCTGGATCAACACCAGTTTGTCTGCATCATTCCAGTAGCCGATCTGCAGTGAGAGGAAATATTTTAATCTCGTTACGACATTTTACTCCATAAACATTCCAATGTTATGAACTGTGTTGTGATTGATTGTTTGCAGATTCTTTGTTCCTGAGACAAGGATGGTCCCAAATAAAGTTTGAAATAAAGTCTGAAAACTCTCTGACCCGGTTCATTGTCTTGCAGATGACGCTGTCATTTCCATTCCGACTACAGAGCAAGTAAAAAAAAGGGGGCCTGGAGAGATGAATGTATGTGTTCCAGAAAAGAAGAATAATATCCATTAAAACAAATCAGAAGAAATAAGAATAAGGATAGTCTCAATTGAGACCTTTTGATTGTAATGGGTATAAACCTGGAATAACCATGACAAAGGTGCCAAATTTTTAAATGCGCTCTTTCCTCGAACTTCCTTGATCTCACTTCAGATGCTGAGCTAAACCCTTGCCAGATTCGTTAGGACAGATCCAGGAACTGCCAAATGCTCAACAAAAGGCTGGATACAATCTGAAATCTCTACAGTGTCAATTCCACTGAACGTCCTCTGTTAACAACTGACACCACGCCAATGTTTATAGTTTAATAAGAGAAAAAAAGTGGAAGACGTAAAGACGCAAGACTAGAGAGACTAAATATATCGGAGCTGTGACATTGATTTATTTTAATTTCTAAGTCTCCTTGGCTTGGAAGTCCTGAAATCTCTTAACACGCCCCGGTTATGCTGCTATATTTTGAGGAAGTAATTTCACACTGAGACTGATATGTGTATGACATGTACAATTTAGGAGGAGGAACAACGTAGCAGACACCTGATATATGACCTTCTGATTAAGAAAGTAGCCAACGGGTATTGATCCTAAATGTATTGATCTAATAATACGACAGAGGCTTTGACAGCAGCCATAAGAAGTAATAAGTCAGTGAGAGTGTGGGAGTCTGCCAGCTGGCTGCTGTGATGGTCAAAGCTGGTGGTGAGCCAGAGGAGGAAGACGGAAAGCTGTGACTGGCTGATATCTCCCGGGATGATGGAGGAGCATGGAAAATTTAGAAGAGAGGCTGTGATCCAAACACACACACAGACACACACACAGACACACATACAGTGTCCTGAGTGGACCTTTGCTGCAAACAGGAGACAGGCTAAAGCAGCTTTTGATTGATGGGAACTCCTCTCTGCTCCCTGAGCTCCCCAACTCCTCCGCCCCTCCTCTTTTTTGGCTTGATTGCTCTCCATTTCATTTCGCCCTCCTGCCATCATTCTGACAAGAGCTCCTCTTACACCCCCTCCCTCTTATCCCTCGTGGTCCCTGGATTTCATCCTGAATCACATCCATTCTCTCATCCTCAGCCAGAGAAGGAGAGCTCCCACTTAGGATAATAAAAAGACCACATTATTGTCCCTGCTGCTTGACACTACAGAAGTCAATACCATGATGCTGTATGAAAGACGTGTGTGATCATCTACAGTAAAGCATAAGCCTTTTCGCACTATAATTTTGAATGTAAAAGTGCAGTTTTCTACAATAACCAGTGGACCATTAGATTAGATTAGATTGAACCTTCATTGATCCCACACTGGGGAATTTGTCGATCTGTACATACAGTTGACATACTGTAGTGATAATGACATCACACAAAAGAGTATTTATCAAAATATAATTGAACAAATTAGTACGAGGCTGCCAAAATAGGGCCTGAGGGCCAACTTTGGACCTGTTAAATGATGTAAATTTGGTGGGCAAATACCTTACCTTTGGTCACAGAGTGTAGACCAGTGTTCATTTAGTACGTAGTAGCTAAAAACCTTACAAATGATACCTTTGGTCACAGAGTGTAGACCAATGTTCATTTAGTACGTAGTAGCAAAAAAAAATTGTGCCTGTCTTTCAGTTTCTAACTGTTAGAAACAAAATATTTTAACACTTAATTGTAGAGCATGTGGGGATTCTGGAGTGTGGAGTGATGTTTTACCCTTCTAGGTCCATTATTCTTCAGTTCAAACACGTCCATGGTGTAGTTGACCCTTCGGCCATAGTGGTCAAACTGGACATTACCTGTTAATCCCTGCAACCGGACCTGCACACACAAGAAAACACAGACATGAAGTCACCTTTGTTTAGATAAATCAGTGATAAGAAACATAAAAATAAAAAAAAATAATATTTAATTCCATTAAAACATGTAGGATGATTTCAAAGTGTAATCAAATATTTAATTCCGTTAAAACATGTAGGATGATTTCAAAGTGCAGAAAATCTTTTCCGGTGGTTGGATTCAACCGATACCACAAATCATTAGGTGACAACAACTTCCAGGATAGTAATGCATTCTGGGGTTATGACCCCTGACTATAAATGAGGGAGGTTAGCTAGAGGTCCGTAAATTAGAGATCCAGCCAGAAAGTGCCCCAAACCTGCACAGTATATACAACTTAACGAATTTTTCCTTTTACCCTCTGATACCCTGTCATTTATTTGCTCTCAGTTTTCTCTGCTTCAGTGTCAGCCAGGCTCTGATGTGATCCATCTGAACCTTACTGGGTTTCTCTCCCTTGTGTACAGTATGTAATCACTCCATCTTTCTTGTCACTTTGTCTTGTTACTCCTGTTGCCCCACGTGCCCTAGCGTGTTGGCCCAGGGACCAGAGATGAGCAGGGATGGAAAACGGCAAAGAGTGATGCACGGTGAGAGCACTACTTCACAGGACGTGGACATGAATAAGCAAACTTTATGCAAAATCCTAAAAGATGGAACACTTTTCAGATTTGGGTTTTGGTAGCCACAAGTAAGAAAAATTGGTTTGACAAGAATCAAAACTGTGTCTCCCTAAAATGAGGCTTAATGTTCCAACCTTTCAATGCAAAATACAGTCAGAATAGAATGCAGTCATTCAATTGTTTCCTGTGTAAGAGAAGAATCAGTCCTGAACTTTACAACATACACATCCCTCTGCAACACTGACTTACCAAAACTGTCCATTTCTTAGAAACTGTTTCTCATGTTGACGTTATTGATATATTTTCTTGTTGAGGTTTCCATTCTCACCTGTTTGAGAGTACGTTCCATGTCGATGCCTTGGTTCCATGGGGCGGCAGGGTTTGCCAGACAGTCACCTGCATTCCCTCGTCTGGAAATGTCCACTTTCTGTCTGCGCAGGTGCCTAAAGGCTTCGGCCATAACCATAACCCCATCATACGTTAGCGCTGAGGTGTACTGTGGCACAGTGAGAAGCAGATGGAGATAGGAACGTTATTTTATGTGAACACAGTTGGAGTGGTACCTTTATAAACCCAAGCTTTGTTTGTTTTAGTTACAAACGCTACTATTGTGAAACGAAACGAAAGAATAAGTGAGCAAGACTGTAGCAGGATTAGCTTGGCCTTGTATAAATATAAATACAACATTCGTTCATTTTCTTGTTTATTGTATGTGTATCATGCAATTTGGAGTTATTGCAGGCAGAAGTTTGCATTTTAGTTAGTAGGGATGTAATGACGCCTCAGGAATCGATTAAAAATCAATTCAAATGCATGGTGATTCGCAAGGATTTAAAAAAAAATAAAGAAGAAATGGCGACATTTTGGATTCCGAAAAATTGTGATTCATATCCTATAGTGAGTTGAGTGTATTACACCACTGTTAGTTAGTAGTATTAGTTATCCATGAAGTCAACATTTCTGTCTATAGCACCACCTACAGGGGAGGAAATAAAGATAAAGGGATTCTGTAACACAGACAACCAAAAGAAGATACTGAAACACGGCAGACAGTATGTTAATATCCTCTGGTGCAGTTTCTGCTCGAGGCCAACTGTATTTACATTTGTCAGGTGTTTTCTGTACACCAGAACAGCCAGGCTGCTATAGACATTCAACAGTTCCAGTCGGCTCATTATTTTACTGGGACCGAGAACAGAACGAGCACACACCCTGAAGTGTACGCCGCCTTCACTCTGATCTATGTTTGACTTGAAAACCCTGCTCTGCCTCTGATTATTTGCATCTACAAGACTCACTGTTTCCCCTGTACGTACATTTCCCTAAAAACTCACCTCTGGCACAGCAGGAGGAGGAATGAACAGAATGAATAAAAATCAGCAGGGCAGTTGCAGGGGGATTAAAAAAATGGAGAGTGTTTTGTCCAGCCGGGTTAGAAGTCTGGCATTAATTATCCCAACTAGCAGGAGTTCATTAACTTTGCCTGCGGCTGGGGGTGAATCCTATTCATTAGTCCGCTGCTCACTGTGACATTACTGCTCTCTACAGAGGAAACCTCTTCCCCCCTCCTCCCCCAGATACTCTCTGACAAACTGCCCACGGTCACAAACACAGCCACACTCATTCATACATGCAAATGATCAAGTGCTAAGATAAAGTGAGAGCAATCAAGATGGTGGCTGCTATCTGCTTAATGCAGGATTCATTTTGTCGCCCAGAGCTTGGATGGATGACGGAGTTGGAAATCAGACACTTTCTGCGTCACTGATTAGCAAATTTGAAGAAAAGGGTGGGATTTAGTGGCATGTAGGTGAAAATATGTTCACAAAATCCCCAGAACCAATTTTAGAAACGTCTTTCAATCCTACTGTGAATTCATAAAAAGTAGAAACACAAAAATGTTCCAGCAATATATAGGAAAATGTTTGTCATATTAAAGTCTGTTGATTAATCACGATTAATCACAATGAATCGTCACACACCCACAGCTACACTGTCATTAATCAGATCGAAAATGTTCTTCGTTTGACATTTGTACCGTTTTCCAAATATTTGGGAGGGAATGAGAAGTGGCTTTGATTTTCCTGTAGGTTTTCAATCTAAAGTTATTATGGTGATGTTGAGTTCTAATGAATGGAGCATCAAACAGTAACACAAGGTGGATTTGAAAACAAGCACAGCAGGTACAGAAACCTGATCATTTTCATAATAATTTTTAACAAAATTGTCTGCTGGTACAGTTAGCTAACCTACACTCGACAGGTAGTCCGTGTGATGAGGACATATCTGCTGTGTATTAGCGTATTAAACACATGAATAATGATCAGAGATTTAAAGGATGGCTGACAAAACTACAGTACTACTCATGTAGGGTAAATGCAACATTTCTGTTGAAGAAGAATCTGACCGTGACTCAGACGGTGGACAAACTGAGGAGGAGCACGGCCATTTGGCCTGAGTAGATTTCCAGGCAATTTATCCAGAAGAAGAGTGGAGCTCAAACATACAAGTACACACACACACACACACACACACACACACACAGCTGCAGAGGGCACAACACTAATTGAATTCTTCCTTCCTGTATTCGCTGAGGATCAAAAATCTCAAGTCTTTGAACAAAAACGTAACCTTTAACCTGACTGAAAAAATAATCTATTCAGCAATACACACACACACACACACACACTTGCAGTGGCTGCCTCCGTGACCTTAAAGGACATGTCATTGACTAACTTCCTGCAGATTTTACACAAACGTTTTCATCATTGCAGCCATTAACCCTGACCTAACCCTAACCCTTGACCTCGACCTTAACATATCTCAATGAGATTTGAACACAGTAGCTGAGTCACACCGTTTCTGCTCCACCGCATGACAGAGTTTTGAAATGAGAGACGTGAGTGGTCGGAGATTAGCTGTGGGGCAGAGGAGCAGCAGGAGGTTTTCTGACTGCCGTGGCACGATGCCTTCTTGCCCCACTGCCATCAAAATCCAGTGTAGCAGAATCTACTGTAAAGTGGGTCATTCTGTCACATAGCTTCATGTTACGATGGAAAAATGAAACCAGGCAAATTGCTGCCGAAGAGAAACTGTTCCTTCTTTACACATACCTCATCATTTTTTATATGATTATTTTAATTGTCTACTTTCCACTCCTTAACCTCCAGGTGATCATGCTTCTGCAGGTTTTACCCTGTATATAAGAAGGTGAAGCCTTTTCCAGAAACACATTCCAGATAAAAAATAAAAATGTCATTAAGTCAATTTTAATATTAAACACTTGAAAGCAAGACTTCTTCAATTGTTGATCTAAAAGCCTCCTAATAATAGGTTTGGTTAAATGTAACATTTTACAGTGCAGACAATTAGACTATGTGATAAAAACTGGGGTCCATGTGTAAGTCCTGCAGATTATGTTCGTATTAAAATTCCAATTCCGATCAGAATTTTTTATTTTTTTTAAAGCGCCTTTAACACATTTCATGTATTAAATTTTCCAATTCCGATCAGAATTTTTTAAAGCGCCTTTAACACATTTCACAGATGCAGAAATGTAGCCCCATGTTAAGAAAGTGTGGTGACTATAAATGTTTTTAAGAGAGAATTTGTGGTCCTCATAAACCTGCCTGAGCACCCATACGGTCCCAGGGTTGCACTTGGGACACATCTGTTATCCACCATGTGGAGAATTTTCAAATGCACTCCAAAGTCATTCAGATTTTTGTCGAAAGAGTTTAACTTTTTCAACAATATTTTGAAACTTTTCCTGTCATTCAAAAAACAGTTTTTCACTACAAATGTCTTGCTCAATGTGAAACAAGTATTTATGGACAGACATACTTTTGGTGGACCGTCAGAGCCAGGATATTCCCGCTGATCCAGCTTGTTCCAGCGCTGCATCAGTTTGATGACCATGGGGTTACTGAAGTCCACCAGCTGGAACCCTGTCACGTTGGCGCCGCCATGCATGAAACGCTCCAGGTTGATGTCCTTAAAACCCTTGTAGGCAACAGAAGAGGTTTAAGGTCACTGTCTGAATAACCTCACCTAATAAGTTATATTTTTTTATTTAAAATGGGTAAAAATGTGCCTTTGTTTAAGAACTTGAACTTAGCAATTTTTTAAAGGTAATCAGTCTGTCTTCGCCACTAATCCTAGATACTTTCGCACATAGGACTGTGACGACAAAAACGTAATGAAATTTCTGGCTGCTCCTTTCTGAAATAAATGGCTGGAGACAAAACTTGTCTTTTTGGTTTATTACTCTGCAGCAAAGGGCGCTCTAGTATCCAACACTCTCCATGGCATCAGAGGACGACATGTACTGCACTGTAGTCTGCTCAAAGTTATAAAAGACAATAAAAGACGTCATAAAAAAGATGAGATGGTCAAAGAAGTCATTTGACTTTAGTATTCCAGTACAATGTCCCACCAAAGCTAAACGCTACATGAGTTGGTGAACTGACTCTGTTAGGTAGAATCGTGCACCATTATGTAGTTCTAATTTCGACCAACAGAAGCAGTTTATGCGTAGGCATAGTTGTCATTGTCAATGTTTTGAAAATCATCAATACAAAACATTTTTAAATAATCATAATGTGTCATGACTTGGCAAGGTCTCCAGAAAAGTTTCAATGTGAAAGCAATTCTTGATTTATGTAAATCCTAAATAAATATTGATCTATTGTCATGTAATATATTTTGCCATCAGGAGGGCAAATGCAAATAGAGATGATAATAAAATACAAATATATATAATATATATTTATTTATTTACCCTTAAGTAAAAAAAAAACTCTTGAGGTAATGATGAGGTAAACACTGCAAATTAAAGAGATATTTAACATTTCTTACATGAAGTTTTAAAACCAAAATCAGCTCATTAGATAAGAGTGTTTTATCTCACCAGGTTGGCCATGATGTAATGGTAGCCTTTCACATGTTTCCCAACGCTGACAATCTGTGGAGACAAAGGGCAGTTCCACGTTAATCTGACTTCATTACACCAAAGCCTATGTTAATTGTTTCCAACAGTGTGTGCAGCCGACGCGTCTGCCTTTTCTGTACACACAGCGAAACAGCCAGATTGTTAACCGTCAAAGATTGAACGTCTAAACAAATAAACACACTCAGGACACACTTCACACTCTCAGGACACAGAAAATGGTTTGTGACATGTGTTTAAGGCACAAACACACGGAGTAAAACACGGCAGCACAGGTGCACCGTAACAACAGGATCTAGTTTTTCAATGCTAAACTGGCTAACGTTGGCTTAAAGAGTGAGCCACAGGTTCACTTTACTTTATTCTGGCAATTGATAAAAGGATAAAAAGTTGGCTGGATATCAGTGCAGCCCATTAAAAACTTCATTAGAATAGTGTTCGATGTGCTGATCTCATTCAGAGAGGGAATTAATCATTTACTAAATGGTCCTTTTGGCACAAAAAGTTAAGGTAACAGGACAGACACAATGACCACCAGGATGTCTGCTCCAGTTTTCATGCATTCCTTCTGTATGAAATTAAAGCACAATCAATCACTGTTGGATATTTTGTTATAACCAACAGAATCTCTACCTGATAATATTTATAAGGTGATTTGCGGCAGAGGAGCAGGGAGCAAGTGTCCCTCACATTTTCAAGATTTAAGATTTAACTGGAGAAAAGATTTAAAAGCCTAATCCTCATCCTGTCAATGACTTCTTCCCAGTTAAAGCTGGATGATTTGGACATGCTGGCCCGAGTTATTGATTTTCATTTAATCAGTTAAAGCTGGATGATTTGGACTGGCCCGAGTTATTGATTTTCATTTAATTGTATTCATTTGTGTCATTAATGAAAATGGAAATATAAATGGACAGGGACGTGGAAAAGGAGAACAAAACAGAAATGATGTTTGTCTGCGTCTAACACTGCAGAGAGCAGAGACCAGGCTCTGACAGAGTCCATGTGTGAATGTGAGAGTCCACAGACATGCAAACACACAATCTGAAAACTAGGGGGGAAAAAGTTAGGAGTGGGACAGATGTCAGGGTGGAGATTTCCTGAATAATTGAACAATTACTGGGACACCAGCAGCTCCTGGGAGTAAATCTGAGAGATCAGGAGAAAAAGAGAGGAGCAGGATGAGGAGGAAAAAGAGGAATCAAAATCCGAATGTGATTCTGCCAAATATCACCAGCTGAGATCAGAACAGACTGTTTTTCAAGTTCAAAACCTACTAATTAGCACAAACACCCAGGAAGTGTGTCGGTGCCAACTTATGATCTCTGCACAAATTTAGATGTTTGCTTCAAAGAAGGGAGAGAGAAAAAAAGCAACAATGTGAAATAATTTTCAAATTTTTACTTTAAAATATTAAAAATGTAAAATCTATTTCCCTAATTCCACATGATTATAAACGGTTTTTGTATTGTTTTAAGATGAAATATATTAAATATTAAAAGGTTTTTGTATTGTTTTAAGATGAAATAAAAGAAGCAATGTTAGTGTTTAGATGTAGAAATTAAAGTGTTAGCAAATTAGTTATTCCCAATAGAGGCACAGCAAAAGATAAGTGAAGGTAAACAAACACTGAGCAGAAACAGACAACAGTTAGCCATGATAAAAACTGCACTTAGGTACAGTGACCGCCGAAGACATTACAGTTTTAAATTAGCAATTTGGCTAACATCCAGCTAATCAAGCGCTAACAAAATCAGCCTGTAATGGTGTAATCACCTGTTCCAACATGTTCTGCAGTCTTTCAGCCTCCAGGTCGATCACAAACTTCTTTTCTTGTCTCCGGTCCAGATCCTCCAACAGTCGCCGGTAGTTGGCATCGTTAAAGTTCTCCACACAGATGGCGCTGACCTGCCAGTTGTTCTGTCCAGCCTTCTCCATGATGGCCTGCAGGATGGAATATCCTGGAAGACCATCAGAAGAAATACAGGATTAGGAGTTTTAGCAACATCTAGTGCTACCCATCATTTTTCTAAAGTTTTGTTTGTTTTTTAAAACATTTCCATTCAACACTCCCCTGCAGTTCTTTGGCAAATACCATATATCACAAGTGTTCATTATAAAAACTGTGTATGTGTCTCCTCAAGGCCTCACAGACAGGAAGAGTACATCTTCTCCGCCTCATTTCCCCTCCCTGCCTCCTGTTGCACTTTATATAAATCAGTGAAACTGAAAAATCATAAAAAATAAAAGTAAAAAATAAACTAAGGGCAATATTTTATGCCTGGCTTCACCTGCTTGTCTGTGCATGCTTTACACGATACACATTAGGCCATATACTGTAGGACCATAGTGAAAGAACACAGTAAACCAGGAAGATATTTCACTGTTAATATTCCCCAGGACTTTAGGTCACAGCAGGTCACTTTAAAAAAATTAGGACGGATGGAACAACAACGTTCTCTAATAAGACCAGTAATATGTAAATGTAGCCAGTAATTTGTCAACGTTAAATTTGAAGCATAACCGCAAAACGATTTGCCAACATGTCAGCTGGCATAAAAGACACTGAATATGTCAGAATAAAACATGTGTTCTCAAAATAAAATAATTAAAAAAAACCACAACAAAGCAAACATTTAAGGAAGACTTATTATATTATGTAATATTTTACCTGAAAACCCGCTAACCAAAACATCTACCAAAAAAAAACCTAAAAATTAAATAAGTAAAAAAGTAAAGCAGTAGATAGTCACAGTCATTGGACCTGCATGTTGTAGACATTCATAATCCTGGATACAGTTAGGGGACACAGTGATATGGGCTTCAGTCGACTCAGCATCCCTCAGAATAAAAATGAAGTCCAGAGAAGATGAAAAGTTCTGTGAGTTGGAAGTGTGGTAGTGGTGGGGGGTGAGGGTGGCTGTGTTGGTGGGAGGTGGGGCCTCACTGTCAGGACTGTGTTCAGGAAGATGAGTGTCAGCGAAGGAAACTTGAGAGCTGTGAGGGCAGCTGTTCTTCAGCA